ATAGAGCAGCATAGCATAGCATAGCATAGCATAGCGCAGCATAGCATAGCATAGCATAGCATAGCGCAGCATAGCATAGCGCAGCATAGCGTAGCGCAGCATAGCATAGCATAGCGTAGCGCAGCATAGCATAGCGTAGCTTAAGCATAGCATAGCATAGCATAGCATAGCATAGCATAGCATAGCATAGCATAGCATAGCATAGCATAGCATAGCACAGCATAGCATAGCATAGCATAGCATAGCATAGCATAGCATAGCATAGCATAGCTTTGGCGCAGCATAGCATAGCATAGCATAGCATAGCATAGCATAGCATAGCATAGCATAGCTTTGGCGCAGCATAGCATAGCATAGCATAGCATAGCATAGCTTTGGCGCAGCATAGCATAGCATAGCATAGCATAGCATAGCGTAGCATAGCATAGCATATATGCATATATAAAACATAAAAACTTTGCATATGCATATGCAAATATGCATATGCATATGCAAATATATGCATATGCATATGCAAATATATGCATATATATGTATTGAATTGCATATGCATATGCATACGTGCAATATATAAAACAAAAAACATAATCACGCTAGGGGTCGAACCGGCGACCCTCCGTTCTATACGGCGCTGTCTTGAGCGCGTACGGCACGCTCCCGACCCGGAATTTCTAAAACGCTCCGTACAACCGGACGGACAACCGGACATCGAACTCGGCATAGGCCTCCGCTCATAACATATGAGCTACGGCTATCAATACTGCAGTCTACTACTCATAAATCCAAAGACTGCGAAACAAACACAAAAACGGTTACAGCTTTCCTGTTTGCCCACTTGCCCATGTACATGTGTACTGTTATATTATGTATGTCCTATATATACGAGGTTGGCAACGCTGGATTTTCGGTACCTCCTTATTGAAGGCACACCTATGCATGTGCTCTATCCATCTAGTTCGTTGTTTGACATGCCCAAAGAGTGTGTGTGTGTGTGTTGGTTGGTTGGTTGGTTGCCAGGTCCAGGTGTATGTCCTAGGTATTGTGCGCTCTGTCACATGCCAACGACACCCAGGCAGGAAGGGAGGAATGATCTGTTAAAGAGAACTCGGGAATAAACAGCAGGGAGCACCAAACACTCGCTGGGTTGGTATAAATGTATCCAGCAGAGGCACACACACACACATACACACACACACACACACAACACAAGAAAAACAATCCACTGGATCATTTGTGCTATATAGTTGTTCCCCCTTCTGCCCGTATTAAGGTATTACTACTCGTTTTTCCTTGATGTAGCCAGCACTGAAACGGCACCATGCATGTTTGGCTTTACGACATAGTTTATAAGCTAGTTGCTATTCTGGGGATGCGAGCATCAAAGGTACGACATGGGTGTGTCGGTGGCCCTACGGCCCTACAATAGTCACGATTGCCACCTCGAGCTCGTCAGGAATATGTTGTCAACATGGCCCTCTATACACAGCATGCACATGCTACCATGCCATACCACATCCTTGGATACCAGGTGTGATACCAGGTTTCGGTTTCATCTTTTGATGTTTTATGGATATGTATCCAGGCAAGCATGCGCAAATAGGTGTCCTTGAAGAGGTGGTGAACACAAGTGTTCTAGGATGGTGGTTCAGCGAAACCACCATGAAGAACCTCGGTCGTGGAGATGAAAACCGCCGACACGGGGAATCGAACCCCGGCCTCCCGCGTTCCGTGTCTTGGCTCGAGTCCTGACAGGCGGGGATACTGACCACTATACGATGTCGACCCTCTGTGACGTGCCTACTTCAGCACGACTCCATAATTCATCCTTTCGCTACCGGGACTCGAACCCGGGTCTCGAGAGTGAGAATCTCGCATCCTAACCGCCTAGACTATAGCGAAGGATTGAATACACACACCTCTTCCAAGAGATGCTTTGAAGGCCTCCTGTCGGGAGCAAGGACCACAGCATCCACACCAAATGCTTGCCCATGCATCCGTGATAAATGGATGCTGCAGAGATTCTGTAAAGAATCCGCAACTCTTTGCTAATAATAATCGTAACCTGCATGCATAATATGTGTGAATTACGGTGTGCATCAGCGATGAAAGGGTTGAGAGTCGCTAGTAGTCAACAGTTATTTTAATCTGTATATGCACCGGCAGCCCCTATATCCCGTGTTGCCTAACTACCGACATCATCCACCAGTACTGGAACACGGTTTCGATGTTTGTTCGACCAACTCACATTCCAGCACCCTATTAGAAGTCATCCGCCCCACTTTTCAAGTTTTTTGGACAGTTTACCATGATACATGGCCAGATAGAAAGCTGGCTAATGTCAGTTGCATTTGCAGGACCATTTTTGCTCCATGCCAGATTTGAACCTGCAACCTTGTGATCACAAATCTTTGTCCTTTAAGAGATGGCTTATCTGCCGATGTTGAGATCACCAGGTTACATTCTACAAGCTCCACGCAAGTGTGGGGCCGTCTGTAAAAGCCGGGGGCCTCATGGGAGTGGACATCAATGGCCATTATGGTGGTGCCGGTCGCGAGTGAGGCAGTTTATTAACATCCTCTCCCGCTTGCCTGGGCTTGGTACGCCTGAGCATGATGTGCCTGGCCTCCCAGACCTATAGCTACGTGAGAAAACTAGCCACAGCTATAGGGGGCCCTTCCACCATAATAGTACAGATTGCTGTCTAGGTACATACACATGCATGCAGGTAACCCTGCCGCCATGCATCTGGCTAGAGAAAATACTAGTACTGAGCATCAATCTAGCTAGGAGAGCTACACGCAATGTTTGGGCATGTCGACATGCAGGGGCGTCCTGCAGATGCATTATACCACGACTTCAGGAAAGCACCAATCGGTG